AAGAGCAGAAATCTGCTGGGTCATATTTCTGTTTCAATTCCACAAAAAAAAAAAACAAACCTGAAAAGGTGGAGATTAGGGAATAGCCCCAGGTCACTTTGCCTGTGGCTGGGAAATAAAGCAGGGCTTGAGCTCCCCTGGAAACGTTTCCAGTGGAGCAAAGCCAGCTCTGCCTCCTGCTCCAGGCTTCTTCCAGGGCTGCATCTGGTTCGTGATGATAATGATGATGCCAACATTTTTTAATTATTATTTTTGCTGACCGACCTTCCCAGTCATTTCCTTTCCAGGAGCTCACGCCTGGGATAATCCCCCTTTTATTACACATGTCCTGATTGGGGACAAATAGTGCTGGCTTTGCCTATTCAGTTTTTTTATGTAATGGCTCCCAGGGATGGAGAGCTGGGCAGGAGAGAGATGCTTCAGCTTTGGAGTAAGCTCCTTAGGGGACAAAAATGAGGTTTGGCCCTCCATCCTACGAAAAGCTGGCCTGTTTCCCTGATAAACCCCCCCACTACTCAACCCAAGGGGTGATTATGCCTTCCACAGCCAGCAGCCTCCTCATCCTCGGCACAAAGAAGGAGCAGCCACGCTCAGTAGGGCTGCCTTCAGCTTCCTCTGGGCTCCCAGTCCCATCAGACTGGTCTGGATCAGGCACAATATGTTGCTCTCTTTTCCTGGCTAAGTCCTCTGCTCTCACTGCCCAGCTCGTAGTGAGGACTCAGGGCAGAGCAATCAGCTAAATGCTTTATCCCTTTGCAGGCGGTCATGCCAGGGGAAAAAAAAAAAAAAAAAAAAAAAAAAAAAAAGGAAAAAAAAAAAAAAAAAAGCCTGATGGGATCCTTTTGCTGGCCTGTCACCTTAAAGCCTCTCACCTCTCCCTGTCTTTCATCGGGGTTATAAACTCCTTAGGGCGTCATCACGTGCTCCATAAATAACAAATATATAAGCAGGGGCTGCGGAGGGTGCAGCAGACGAGGAGGAGGGGAGGCAAACCCCCGGGTCCTCCTCTCCTGCCAGCTGTGGGGTGGCACCGCTGGAGCCAGGCGGGCAGAGGAGCGGCGCGGGGTCCCCTCTGGTAAGCACCCACCTTTCTGTTGCATCCCGGAGCTACTGACAGCCTTGGGGACAGCTGGTGGTCCCAAGGGCACTGTGACTTACCAGGATGGGGGGGAATTGCCCCAGAGGGTGGGGGGAGGTTGGAGCACGGAGCTTGGCTTGCCTGAAAAGTGATTTTGGTGGAGGTAAAAGTGTGACTCTCACCCCAGTGTCTGTCCCATCCCAAAACTTTCACCACATTCTATCAAAACCCGGGTGTAGGGGTTCCTCTCACTGAAACCCTCTATGTTCAGGGCGTGGGAAGAGCTTGAGCTTTTTTGCAACGAATGTACTGACAGCCTTGGGGACAGCTGGGTGTCCCAAGGGCACTGTGACTTACCAGCCCCATTATTCCAGGATGGGGGGGGAAATGCCTCAGAGGGTGGGGGGAGGTTGGAGCATGGAGCTTGGCTTGCCTGAAAAGTGACTTTGGTGGAGGTAAAAGCGTGACTGACCCCCCACAGCACCTATCTCATCCCAAAACGTCTACCACATTCTATCAAAACCCTCTCTCACTGAAACCCTCCATGTTCAGGGCATGGGAAGAGCTTGAGCTTTTTTGCAACGAATGTTTGGCTTCAAAACTGGGTGAATAACTCCTTGCTACAAACCAATTTTAAAACTCAAGCTGCAAATCCAGGTAGACACTCGTTGACATAATAAAAAGATGATCTTAGGGGGTTACTGGGGACTTGCCCGTTTATTTGCATGTGAGCATCTCTCTGGACCATGCAGATGCTTTGATCTCCAGTGCACAAGTGGGGGAAAAATTTGCAGAGGCAGCTTTTGGTACATACACACAAATGTATTGGGCTTGTCTCAGGCAAGTCTAGTAAGGAGCTACAGCACAAAATTTAGCTTGGAGTGTATGCGGCTTGAAAAATATACAGAAGGCTGTGTTGGAGCACAGGAAGACAGATTTCTTGAGCCAGGGAGAGAGGATTTTCCTCCTTGCTCTGGTTCTCACTTACTCTTTGACCCAAAAGTATACAGGAGGCTGTGTTGGAGCATGGGAAGACAATTTATTGAGCCAGGGAGAGAGGATTTTCTTCCTTGCTCTGGTTCTCACTTACTCTTTGACCTGGGGGGGAGTTTCCTTCACCTCTTGGGGTGGGATACTGCACTGCTGGTACCCCCATGGGCTCTGGGGACGGGCTGGGGAGGGTGGCTGGTTCCTCTGTGCTCTGCAGGCTGTGTGTGTCATCCCTGCAGAAGATTTTTGCATCTGCAGGGAGCTGAGAAGCAAAGCAAAAAGTTCATTTCCAGAGAACAAACACCGATATATCAGCCCTCCAGCTGTATAACCCGTGCTGCCAGGAATAAAATGCTGGAGGGGAAAAAAATAGAAGGAAAACAAGCTCGGGAACAGCCTTTCCCCATCACTGACTTCTCCTCCAGGCTGTTGCCGGATGGGGTCTCAGGAAATTTCTAAAAATAGCTGGAGGGATCTGATTCCCCTTTCCCCGTCATCTCTAATAGGAACCGAGCAGAGTCTTGAATCTTCCTCAAGCTCTGTGGATGTCCCTGTAGAGACTCTCCAATATTCAGCTCTTTACAGCCTTTGTATGGTCTGGGATAAAGATTGCTCTTGGACAGTGACCTGGCTCTGTGGGTGACCAAACCTCCTGCTCCATAACTCCCATGGCAGATGAACCTCTGCTCTGCCCGGCCATCCCTGCACAGCACCCCCAGAACCTGTCCCAGGCCCTCAGCACCCCCCAGGATCAAACCACCGTTGCGTTTTCTAGGTGCCCAGAGCCTACCCTCTTCCCTGCTCCGGGATTTATCCAGGTGGATGATCCCTTAATCCAATTAGCAGGATGAGGAGTTCCAGAAGATTTGATAAGCTCTACAAATGCTACAGCCCCCCAGAACCCTGCTCTCCCCTCCAGCTTGGCCACCCCTTTATTTCCTTCCCTACATGGTTCCCAGGAGCATGAACCACCCATTCCCATCATCATCTCAGTTAGTCCTTGCTCTCACCCTTTGGGGACCAGCATTAGGGGTGCTAAATAATTCCCCTTCCAGAGAAATGCCCTCTCCCTGATGGACTCAATCCCTTAGAGACACCACATCCGCTGCCAAATTAGCAATTCATCGAAAATAAATCACAGCACCCACCCCCTCTCACCCTGGGCTGGATGAAAGAGGCGTTTGGAGCACCCAGCCCTCGGCCTTTCAGGATGGAAAATTCCCAGCTTGCGCCGGGTTCTGCCCTGCGCCACGTTTGTGCTGGTAATGCTTTTGTTTCTATAAATCCTATTAGCTGGAGGCAAGCCTATAATTAGCAGGGAAAGCCGGCACCTCTCAAAACAATAATCAAAAATGACCCGGCTTCGCTGCAAATTGCTTGGCTGTTGGGCTGAGCAGGGACAGAGGGATGGCTCGGGAAGCTCTTCCCACTATTTCTGCCTGGGGGACGCATGTGCTTCCCAAAGTTATTCGCTCAGTTTGTGGTTCTCTCTGGAATTATTAACTCAGTTTGCTCGCACACGAAAGAGGAGGCAGAGTGAAGCTCCAGGCTCTGATCCAGGTCAAGGGATTTGGCCGGGCTGTGGAGGATGGGCACTGCCGGATGAGCTCAGGGGGCTGATGACCCTCCTGGGAGAACCAAGGGGGTCTGGGGTCTCATGTCACAGGTGACATGTCCTGGGGTGAGCTGTGCCCGGTGGGATTGTATTCCCAAAGCTCCTGGGATAGGAGACAAACCTGGGGGCAGGTCCCTAGGTAGGATGCTTGAGGCTTGTCCTGCCACTGAACCATCTCAGCTACGTCTGAGCATGGAAATGACTTAAGAGCCCAACAGGGGCTAAGCTGTGTCATTCGAGGGATTTGGCCGGGCTGTGGAGGATGGGCACTGCCGGATGAGCTCAGGGGGCTGATGACCCTCCTGGGAGAACCAAGGGGGTCTGGGGTCTCATGTCACAGGTGACATGTCCTGGGGTGAGCTGTGCCCGGTGGGATTGTATTCCCAAAGCTCCTGGGATAGGAGACAAACCTGGGGGCAGGTCCCTAGGTAGGATGCTTGAGGCTTGTCCTGCCACTGAACCATCTCAGCTACGTCTGAGCATGGAAATGACTTAAGAGCCCAACAGGGGCTAAGCTGTGTCGTTTGTAACACTGAGCAACCTGGAGAAGAGAGTAAATCCTGGAAGCACAGGCTGTCCCTGGGAAGTGGCCCTGGCTGCCTGATATGTCCATGCTGGGGCATCCTGGTGCACTTTTGGTGGCTTGGCACTGACTCACCTACAGCCACGCAGCACCCTGTGGAGCTTTCACCCAGATCTGCTCATTTTGCAGTCTCTCAGCTTCTCACAGCCACATCCCACCCTGCCTGTCCCCAGGGCAGGGGCTGCACTTGTCCTGGGGCTCTCCTGCCCTGTCCTGCTGCCTGGCTTTGCCATGGGCTGGGTCGGGAGATGTGGGGCAGGGTACCAGGGCGGGATGCTCAGCCTGGTGCCCGCTCCCCCTGCCCCAGCTCTGGCAGTCCCTCTCCCTGCTCTGTCCCACTGCCTGGATGCTGGCAGCTGGTCACCAGGCTTTTGTGCCTCGTGTCCCTGTGGCCACGAGTTTGCTACAGCCTAATTCTTGGGGCAATGGGGTCACTGTGGGCGGGTATTGGTGCTATATATATATACACACACACAATGTATAGGAAAAGGGTGGCAAGCAGCCTAATCCTGTGTGTGATCAACAGGTATTTTTGGTGGCTAAGAGTGCTGGAGGAGATTTGCTGAAATAAAGGGTGCCCTGAGGCTGCTGGGGCCGGGAAGCGGCAGAGGCTGCCCCACACAGAGGGAGCGGTGGGAAACTGAGGAGGAGGAAGAAGAGGAGGAGGAGGATTGTCGGGGCTGGGAAGCGGCAGAGGCTGCCCCGCACAGAGGGAGCAGTGGGAAACCGAGGAGGAGGAGGAGGAGGATGTCAGCACTCAGCGCCTTGCCTTTCCTGAAGCCCGTTCACCTGAGGTCCCCCCGGAGCTCGCCCGGGGGCCAGCGCCGCCACACGCTGCCCGCCAGCGAGTTTCGCTGCCTCAGCCCCGAGGACGCCATCAGCGTCTTCGAGATCGAGCGGGAAGGTAAGGGGCTGTCCCGGGGAGGTCCCGGCCTGGGGGTAGCAGCTGGAGATGCCCCATCAATCCCTTGAGCTCCTTGGGGACACACCATGGTGGCAAACCCTCCATGCGTGCTCTTGTGGGTTGATGAGGGATAGAGCCAGCAGCTGTAACTGCGGCCAGGCCACCGTGTGCTCCTTAACGAGGTGGATGAGGCTGTGATTAAGGAGATGGAGAATCACAGCCCCCAGCTCACCCAGGGTGGGAGGTGACCCCAGACTGGGCGAGTGAGGAGCAGCTCTGAAAACAGAGGGGAGTGGACAGGGGAGGGAGAAGGTGGGAGGAAGGACACCGTGCTCAGCCTCTGGTTGCACAGGGGTGCATTGAGATGTACCCCCAGCAACCTTCCCCCCCCTCCATCCCAGGCACCCCCAGCTCCCCTTGCCCAGACTCACCAGCCCGTTTCTTCTCCTCTCCAAAGGGCAGGGGCAGTCGTGGAGATGCCAGGCAGGAGGGCTCATCTCAGCACCCGCTGCTGTAGCCCTGGAGTCAGCGATGAGAGTGGGGAGAGGGTCCTTGGGCTGGGGGCGCTGCCTCTGGAGGAGCAGAGCTGCTCCCTGGGGTCATCCATGTCCCTTAGAGCTCCTTTAGACCAAGTAGGCAGCAGGACACACGCCAGCTTCTCCCCATCACATCCCGTGCCAGGGGGTTTTCAGGGTCCCTCTTGCTGTACTCAACCACTATCTCTCTCCAGCCTTTATCTCTGTCTCTGGGGACTGTCCCCTCCACCTGGACGAGATCCGCCACTTTCTGAACCTGTGCCCGGAGCTCTCCCTCGGCTGGTTTGAGGAAGGGCGGCTTGTGGCGTTCATCATCGGCTCCCTGTGGGACCAGGAGAGGCTCACCCAGGTAAGAGTGACCCCAGTTCTTCCCAGCTCTTGTACTGGCAGAGGCACTGCCAGAGCCTGGGGACAAGGAGAAGCTCCCGGGGGCCCTGAGGCTACTCACTACTCACCAAGTCTTCTCCCAAGACTAATTGCTACAGGGCTGCTCTGGCAGAAGTAAACTCTCATTAATTAATTTTACCAATGCTGTTAAAAAATACGCTCAGTAATTCCCCACAATATTGGTTTTAAAAATTAAAAAGCCTGCAGGGATGCTGGGGGAGGTGAAGGAGGGGGGCACCAGGACCCTTCTCCCTTTGGGAAAGGATGGGGATCCGGGTTCACTGAGGTGGGGGACCAAGTCACACGCAGGATGGGACCCCCAACCCTGACCCCGGGTGACACTAACCCCCCGCTCCCCCCTTGGCAGGAGGCGCTGACCCTGCACAAGCCACGGGGCACGGTGGTGCACATCCACGTGCTGGCCGTGCACCGCACCTTCCGGCAGCAGGGCAAGGGCTCCATCCTCATGTGGAGGTACCTGCAGTACCTGCGCTGCCTGCCCTTCGCCCGCCGTGCCCTCCTCATGTGCGAAGATTTCCTGGTGCCCTTCTACCAGAAATGTGGCTTCGAGGCGCTGGGTCCCTGCCAGGTGACGGTGGGGGACCTGGCCTTCATCGAGATGCAGCATCCCGTGCGGGGACATGCCTTCATGCGCAGGAACAGCGGCTGCTGAGCCCCCACTCTGGTCCAGGTGGGGCTGGAGAGAGGCTGCCGGGGGGGGAAATAAGAAGCTACGACCCCTCTCCATCCCTGCCATGGTAATACATCCTCCCCGGCTGGCCCTGGCCACAGCTACTCCCCCTCTGCCACATTTGCCTTCCAGCCACATCAGCCTGGTCCCATCCCCGCAGGGCTGGGGACCAAAATCTCCAGCCTGGCCCCACTGGGAGCACTGACCTCCCCGCCCCGGTCTCTGCTGGGGCTGTGCTGGAGAGCCTGGGCAGGCTGCAGAGACCCCCCCAGGGATGGAAAGGCTTTGCCCTAGGAGCAGTGAGGGATGCTCTGCTGATTTAAGGGCACTCACAGCCACGTTTTGCTGTGACACCCAGAAGAGACCGTACACACGTGTACCCCCAGCCCTGCACCCCCTCCCACCACCGCCACGAGTGACCACACCATGGCCAAACCCCACCCCCAGCAGCCACCAGACCAGGACGGGGTCACAGCAGCCACCCCACTGCCCACAGACATCTTTCCAGACCCCTTGGAGCACACACACAGCACATCCCCAGCCACACATTGCACAGCCTCCCTGGGGGGGCCAGTCCAAACCATTCCCCCCCCACCCCGAGACCCACAACCAGCCCCGGACAAGCCTTCTGCAAACGCCTTGGGCTGGTACGAAGCAGCAAATAAAGAGGTGGTGGTGGTTTTCTACCGTGTGTGTTCCTGCACCTCGCCACAACAGCTGGAGGGAGGGCAACAGCCGGGATGAGAGGAGCCACCCAACACCCCTTGGGACATCCCAGCTTCAGGGGACACGGGGGCAAATCCGGCCCCAGGTCATTCGGTGACGGGTGGGATGGAGGCAAGGGTGGTTCTGCCCTCGGGAAGGGTCAGGAGGCTCCGTGGGTCTTTTTGCTCCAGGTATTTGGCTTCTCCTTCTGCTCGAGACCCTCCAAACCCTGTCCCCCTCCCAGAGAGGTAGAGGGGGACAGCGCAGCCCTACACATCAGGCACTGCCAGCTCATCCCCCCCCACCCTGCCACACCGAGCATCCTCAAAACAAGCAGAACCCCCCCCCAAAATTGCTGCATCCCTGTGCCTCAGAAGGGAAAAGAGGCCCTGTGCATCTCATTAAATACAAGTAGAAATTTATTTAAAGAGGGGAAAAAAACAAACAAACCCACAGCTTTTAAAAAAAAGTATCAAAAAGAGACAAATGAGGTGAAGTGTCTGTTTTAGGCTGGAGCAGCAACCGGAGGGACGGAGCGGGGCTGAAAACTGGCCCGTGGTGGAGGGAGGGATGCGGGGGTCACAGAGCTCCTGGAATGTGGCTGTGGCCAGAGGGAGCTGAGCTCCCAGCCCTTGAATACTCATCCCGGGACATCCCGGTGGGGGGGAATTCACACCTTCCCCCATTTACCAGCACTGAGACCCACCAGCACCAAAGCGACACGTACTGGGGGAGAGACAGCCCAGCACCAGCCCTGGCCCAAACCAGCCCAGCAGGGTCACCCGGACCCCAGGAAGGACCTGCCTTTACACTGAGGTGGGTGGGAGGGAGAAGGAGATGGTGGAGAACAGCAGCCCAGGGCTGGTGGCAGGCAGGGATGTGCAGCCCCTGGGCAGGGAAGGCAACTGCCCCCATCCCGTGCTTCTCCTTTAAGGCAGGGAGGCCTACCTGGGTCTCCATGCTTTGAAAAAGGCAAAGGGGTAACAGCAGGGACTGGAGGCAGAAGCAAAAGGTGGGAGCATCGATGGCTTCCCAAGGGGGTCTGTGGGCTTCAGGAGCAGCCACACAAGCCCCCCAGGGTGTTTCTCCATGCCTGCCTCCCAGCACAGCACTAGAGACAGTACGTGCCACTTCTCTGCTTCCAAAAAGGGAATTTCACTGAAATAAGGGGAAAAGGACCCCTCCCTGCACCAAGTCCTGCCTCTCCATCCAGTGATAAGCCCACGTGGGGAAGCACAAGCCTCCTTCCACAGCCTTAAGGGAGCACCAGATGAGAGAGCAGGGCTGAGAAATACCTTCAAAGTTCAGCTCTGAACATCTCAGAGCTGTGGCAGAGGTCCCAGGGAGCCCAAAGCTGGGGAAACTCTCAGACCAAAGACCCACGGATAAAAAAAACAAACAAACAAAAACCAAACAAACCTGCCCCTGCAAAAAAGGGGGTCGTGTTCACAGTATGAGCTGCAGCACCTGGGGGCACCGAGGTGGGACGGGGCTGGGGTACAGGCAGGAGACCTGGGCAGCTTCAGCCCCAGGGCCAGGAGCCCAACCTGGGCAAGAAAACACCAAAAACCCACTTTCTCATGGCCCTTTCCCCACATGGGCAGCAGCCAAGGTCCTGGGTCGGTCCCCAAATCAGTTACGGCTTGAAAAACCAAGAGGCAGCCCCAAAGGGGTGCAAGGCAGGGTGGCTCCAGCCCCGCTCCCAAGCCCAAAGCCCCGGGGATGAAGCCGTGCCTGGGGTCTGCTCCATCCCAGCAGGGATGGTGATGATCCAACTCCATAGAGATCCATCACCACCAGCACCTCTCCCAGCCCCGTTCCTGCCCGTGGGGTCAGTGCAGGACCTGCTCCAGCTCGTACTTCTCGCAGAACTTGCTGGTGATGGGCAGGCAGGTGAGGTACTCGATCCAGCGCCAGTTCACAGGGTAGACGTAGAGCCAGACCACCAGGGAGGCGAAGAGCCCCACGAAGACCAGCAAGGAGACGATGATCATGGCTCGCTTGCGGTACTTGTCCACCGTGCCGAAGGTGATGTAGGGCAGGAAGGCGAAGGAGAGGAGGAGGCCGCTGAGGAAGCCGAAGAGGTGAGCGATGTTATCGATCCACGGCAAGAGGCCGCAGACGAAGAGGAAGAGGACGATGCCAAAGAGGTTGAGGAAGGCTTTCCAGGGTTTCTCCAGCACTTGCCAGCTCTGGAAGAGCTCCACGAAGAGGCAGGCCAGCAAGCCAAACTGGGACCCGGCGGGGCCCACCTGTGGGGATGGGAGAAGTCATGGCCAGACCCTGCATATGTCACCCCAGAGATGTCCCCACGTCCCCTGGGGACTGTCCCTTCCCCTTACAAAGTGCATTTGGCTCCTGCAACCTTCTGAGGGCTGCACTCCACCAACCCAGGGTTCAGAGGTGGGAGCCCTGGCATGGGGGGAAAGAAAGAAAGAAAGAGGGGAAAGAAAGAAAGAAAGAGGGGAAAGAAAGAAAGAAAGAGGGGAAAGAAAGAAAGAAAGAGGGGAAAGAAAGAAAGAAAGAGGGGAAAGAAAGAAAGAAAGAGGGGAAAGAAAGAAAGAAAGAGGGGAAAGAAAGAAAGAAAGAGGGGAAAGAAAGAAAGAAAGAGGGGAAAGAAAGAAAGAAAGAGGGGAAAGAAAGAAAGAAAGAGGGGAAAGAAAGAAAGAAAGAGGGGAAAGAAAGAAAGAAAGAGGGGAAAGAAAGAAAGAAAGAGGGGAAAGAAAGAAAGAAAGAGGGGAAAGAAAGAAAGAAAGAGGGGAAAGAAAGAAAGAAAGAGGGGAAAGAAAGAAAGAAAGAGGGGAAAGAAAGAAAGAAAGAGGGGAAAGAAAGAGGAGGACGCCAGGCAATGTTTTGGCAGCGCTGATGCTCTGGGTGACTCAGCAGCCAGGCAGCATCACCCCCTCCCAGGACACAGCCCCCCCTGCGTTCTCTGCCAGCAGATTAGCCATCTGCCCGCCCGGGGACCCCGCACGCACACCGACACGTGGCGACGCGTGACCCACGCCGCATGTGCGAACCCCACACGTGGGGCAGAGACCCCTCCCCTCTCCCCCATGGGGGCACCAGCCTCCCACACCCCCCTGCAATAAAACCTGCCAGGGTCTGAGAGCTCTGTGCTGATGGCTGCAGCCCCATCCCCAAACCTCTGCTGGGACAAGGACAGCGAGGGGTGTCCTTTGGGGGGCTGGCTGGGCTCAGGGTGATGTGAGTAGACCCCCAACCCTCACCTCTGCCCTGTAGGGCAGGAAGATGGCACTGGCCAGGTTGCCCGTGATGCCGCTGAGGATGAAGATGATGGAGATGCGATGCCAGCCCGCCAGCTTCTCCAGGTCCCTCAGCACCGTCATCTGGAAAGTCACCGACACCAGGCAGTGGATGATGCTGGGGGAAGAGACCCTGCGTTAGAGACCCCTGTCCTGCCAGAGCTCCTGCCCAGCCCTCCCACCCACTGCCCCGGGGCATGAGGCATCTTCTCAAACATCCTTCACCCATGGCACGTGTCACTGTAGTGTCCTTCCCTCTTCTCTCCCAACCCATCAGGGATCACAAACCATCCCAATGGATTTTCCACTCCCAAGTCAGCCACCCCATCCCCTGGGGACACGGGGGTCCACGGCTCACCCGGCGTGCAGGAAGAGGGACAGCCACAGGCGGTAGAACTGGTCAGGGACCTCCGGGTTGAGGAAGGGCAGGAGGCCACAGACCTCGTCCAGGCAGTGCACCTGAAGAGGCAGGAGGGGTTTGGAGGGTGAGGGGGGCTCAGCCCACACCCCAGAGCCACAGGGAACAAAGGACAGGTCACAGGGATGTGTGGCTGATGATGCCACATGTCAGTTGTGGGGGGGACACTGGGTGGCTTAGGGGGACCGCAGGTGGCGTGGGGGGACCTGCGCTGCCCAGGTGCTGGGGAGGGAGCGAGTGAGCACCCTCAGTGCCCCAGGAGATGCTGAAGGGCTGTTTTCCTTCCCAGGATGTGCCTTTCCCAAGGCCATCGGTGATGCCCAGGTGAGGTTGGTTCAAGTCCTGTTTCCTCCTGCCCCACACCAGTGAGGTGGGCACGCAGCGGCAGCAGGCATCCTCCCTGCTCACACCCACCCCAACCACATCCCAGGGCACCATAAAACCCCATGGCACCAGCAGGGCAACACATGACCCAGCTGCCAGCATCCTGCCCCACGTCCCCAGCCCCGCTCACCTGCGAGCAGAGCGTTGCCTCCTCATGGAAGTAGCCGTGCATGAACTTGCAGTACTCCCGCGTCGTGATCTCACAGCTGGGGGCAGAGGGTGGGCAGCGGGCTCCATGGGGGGCAGAATTTGCTCCCCCACTCCCCCAAGCATCCCCTTTCACTCCTAGGAGCCAGTCCTGCCGCCAACACGCTTCCCACCCCTCCACCCCAAGCATCCACCCCAAGTATCCATAACCTCCCTCTCCCCCTAGCACAGGACACAGGGCAGAGGGGGGAGCCGAGCCTGGGCTGGGTGCCCCCCATGGCTGTGACCCACCTGCCCTTGGTGCCGATGCAGCAGGGCCTGCCCTTGATCTGGCAGTCCATGTGGGCAAAGCCCGTGTAGTTGGTTTTGGTCTCGTAGGTGCAGATCTACAAGCAAGAGGGGGAGAGGAATTGAGGTCAGGGTCTGGCCCCACGCTCTCCCCTGAAGCCCCAGTGCCAGGCTTTGTTGTGCGTCCCATGGAGGTTGCCACCACGGTGCCACCCAGCTCGTGGTGCCACCAGGCTCTTACCGGCCACTTGGTGATGTCGTCTGGCCACACATGGGGTGGGTTGGACGCTGGCTCCTCACATGTCCTGGAAGGAAGAGGTGTGGAGGGGGGGGTTAAGACAGGTTCCCCCCAACACATCATTCCTGGCAGACCAGTAACCCCACCTTGGGCACAGACACCCCCAGGACCTACCCCTTCCCCTGGCTTGGGAGGGAACCTGCACATTGGTGTCCTACAACACCCCACAGCAGCACCTTCCACGGGTGAACCCCGTGGAATGGCCTCTGCCCATCTGTTGGGCAACCCCATCAATGGCCCCTCGCAGCATCCCCCCAGGCAGGGACCAGTGCAAGACAACAGCATCACTCATCGCTGCCTACGTTTAGGACAGACCCCACCTCAGTTTCCCCACTGATTCCCTTCTCCTTATCACTCTCCTATGGGGTGTCAGAGCCCCCCCCCAGCTCCCTGGACAAGAAGATTCAAGGCATCCAAGCTGGAAAGGCAGCTCCAGGCAGCACCTCTGCCGTGCCCCACACACAGCCATCACTCCTACCTGGGGTCCTGGTGACACACAGCCCCCGATGTCCTCTTCTCACCCTGGCCCATGGTGGGCGCGTTGCTGCCCGGCCACTTGATGAAGGTCGCCAGTGTCTCCTGGGGATGACAAAGGGATGGAGGATGCGGCAGAGAACGCGCCACCCTGGCCCCGCACGCATCCTCTCCTGGTGCTGGGCAAGGCAGGGATGGCTTCCCCCCTTTTCTCCAGGGATCCCCAGCACTCGCCAGTGCCCACGGTGGGGGTGGCACCCACCGAACAGTCCTGGGGCAGGGTCTGGATGCAGCCCGATTTGTCGTTCTGGACGCAGCAGCCGGAGCTGCGCTCCCGGTCCCGCTCGCGCTGGATGAGCCGCTCCACCTGCTGATCCTTCCGGATGCAGGGGGAGAACTTGGCTCCCAGGTGGATCAGGTCGATCTGGGAAGGAGATGCCAGTCTAAAGGATGCTCCGTGGACCCCCCAACCCCAGCACCCCTCCTCCCTCCAGCTGCCCCCAGGGAGAGTTCGGCAGGGGGTCCCCACAAGCGATAGCCCTGGGTCTCCGTTACTCCCGTGGGGAAAAGGAGGAGGGGAAAGGGATGGAGTTTCTTCTGACCATCCCACCATGATGCTGCACATCTGGGAAGTGCTGCTGAGCCCCCAGCCTGGGCTGGGACCAGGCAGCAGGTCCCAGAGGGATGGGGGCACCGAGGGCCCAGGGCAGCAGGCTGGGATGGGGGGTCAAGCTTTTCCCCAGGGGAGAGGAGCACCCCAGAGACCCCCCGCCTTGGCTGGGGGAGCAGAGGCTGGTGGAGGCCAGAGCCTCAGTGGTCCAGCAGAGCCCTTACCGAGCTGGGCCCGATCCAGAAGTTTTCCTGCTGGATGTACTTGACGCTCTCGTAGACCCCCTTGTTCCTCAGCACCTGCCAAGCCAGGCCAGGGTCAGATCCTGCCGAGGGGTATGAGGGGCTGCAGCCCCCTCTCCCTCCGCTTCATCTGTGGGGAAGGGCTGCTGGCTCCCTCCAGTGATGTACAAGAGAGGGCAGTGCTGCTCATCCAGCAGACATGGACCCCCCCCTCCCCACGCTGTTTAATGGAGCTTCTCAACCAGCAGGAGCCAGCAGCACCCCCAGGATGCTCCCACCCCTAGCGGGGAGCACGACAGCATGGGACACTGGTGGTCACCATGGTCCACCAAGGATGATGGATGCTTGCTCTTCCCTCCAACCTGGGTTCCAAGGGAGCAACCCGGATGGCTGCAGGTTCCCAGGATTAACCCCAGAGGAAGGATCACCCCCCTCCCAGGTGTTGGAGACACCCCCGGACACCAGCCTTCCTTTCCTTGGCAATTGCAGAGCCAGACAAGTCACTGGAGAGCTGGGAGGGGACAGCTTAAACTTACTAACTCTGTCGTCACGTGCTGGGCAAAGCCGATGGGGGCGATGCCGTAGGTGCCGATGACCAGCAGGGTGATGAGGATGTGGACAAAGGTGATCCAGTACGTGAAATACGGGCTGAGGAGGAAAGGAGCCAAAATTTAAGCAGCTCCAGGGTGGCCGGGCAAAGGGAGGCTGCAGCCCCCCAAGCAGCGAGGGGGGATGCACATCCACGTTACAAGCTGGGGAGAGCCCATCCCCGTCCCGTCAGTGCTCCCTCACCGGTGGCTGTCGGTGATCTCCAGCTGGGACTGCACGATGCTGCTCAGGCTGCGGCGGTACGTCCTGTTCAGCCACTTCCCCACCACCCCCAGCCCGTAGTAGCGTTTCTTGCGGTCGAAGGCGAAGTGTTTCACTTTGGAGGCGATGCGCCTGCCTCGCCGGGGACCTGCCTCGGCGCCCGCCGAAGCCAGTCGGACACCCTCCTGCCTGCAGAGAGAGGAGAAACCCATCGAACCTGCCAGAAAGGAGCCAACCGAGAGGTACCCCCTGTGCAAACCCACAGCCCAAGGGATGCCAGGGGTGAGGGCACCCCTTGGCTTTGTCCTCCCAGGAGCATGGCAGAAACACCCATCTCCATGGCAGGGATGGCTGGGGACATTTGTCCTGATTGCAGCAGGGGACCTGGGCAGCCCCCACCGAGAGCTGGTACTCACGGGACGGGCTGCTCCACCTCGGGGGACGTCCTGGCATCCTCCCCCATTGGGTGCGTGCGTAAACAGGTGGCCGACAGAGGTGGCGACTCGAAGACATCATCAGGCATGGAGTACGTCTCGTCGTGCATGTCCATCTGAAAGGAGGATGGAGACAACGTTCTCAGGTGAGAAACCTTCCCCAACCGAGTGTGCCCATCGCCAGGCCAGCCTGGCTCCTCCCAGAGCCTGGGGAGGGGGTGATCCCCACCAACAGCATCGCTTCCTGCCACCCCCAAGAAGCATCAGCGAGACCAGGGCTCTGCACCGGTGGTCACTGTGCCCACCAATGCCCCGTCAGAGCCCTGCTCCATCTCCAGTCCCCGTGCAGGGACATCAGGACCCCTCCCCGCTCCGGCAGTAGGGTGGAACGGCGCTTGCCTTACTGAAGAAGGACGAGTCCAGGGTATCGGCAGCATCCACCATGTCCTCGTCCATGAAGCTGGGGTACATGAAGGTCCTCTTGTTGATCCTTGGCTTGGGAGCCAGCGGCTCCAAGACAGAGCGTCCCTTTGGCAGGGGAGGCAAAGGAGGGTAAGACCCTCAGTTTTTGGCAGCACCGAGAGTTTCTTGTGGCTTCCCTCCCCAAAGCAGAATGGCAAGGATTAAATTAAGTGGTTTCCTTTTCCCCCTGCGTGGGAAGGGCAGGCAGCAGGAGCTGGCAGCAGATGCTGTCTTTAGCTTCTCAGAGCCAACATTGGACCATGAACACATTAGTCAGCATGACAAGTGACTTCTGAATGCCTGCTTGGGTCTTGGTCCCACCAACCCAACTCCAAGGCTTAAATCCCACCAGAGAAGCCTCCCCTGCAGCTAAAGGTCTTGTGGCTCCTCAGCAGTGAAACCCAGAAGCTGCTTTTTTCTAGAGGTGCCGTGCAAGGTAGTTCCACTTTGGTGGTCCAGTTTTCACCAAAACTTCTCTTTTTAAGCAGAAGTTAAAAAAAACCCAAAACCCACCACAACAAAACAGCAAACCACCCTCCCCCTCAAACCTGCCCTGGAGAGATGACAATCTTTATATGAGGCAAAAAGCCAAGAAGCGAAGAAGATGGGTGAGGGATAGAGCTGGAACCCAAATCGGGAAGAGGATGATCCCCTCCCAGCTCCCCAAAACTCACGCGGAGAAGGGCTGCAGCCGCCTTGAAGCTCATGTGGGCGACGGACTCTCTCTTCCTGCGTGGCAGGCGGCTGTAGCCGGAGCGGATGCTGTTGAAGGACGTCAAGGAGACAACACCAGGGGTGAGCGGTGGCAGGACGTGGTGGGGCGTGTGGGGACGGTCTGTCTCGTCGGGATGGCGGAAGGGACGGCCCCTGGCCAGCGGGTCCACAATCTGGAGGAGGGAAGAGGTGTTGGTGCTGGGAGAGCAAGGTTGGGAGCCGGACCCTGTGCCCCGAGCTCTACCTTGGGCATCTTGGTGGGCTTGGGTGACTCGGTGCCTTGGAAGGAAGGGACCTCCTGGCTGGGCAGCTCCATGTCGCGGTAGGCAGGCTTCAGCTTCCCGTATCTCATGCTGCAGTGCTGCAAGCTCTTGCGTTGCCATTGCTGCCTCTTCCCCTCCCAGTCGCCGCTGACACCAAACCATTGCGCCGTGCCCCTGGACACACGATAGGGCATGCTTGTCACCCAGCAGGTCCCCCCCCCCACCCCAGGTACCACCATCCCACTTGGCCATCCCCTCCATCAGGCGATTTGGGTTGGGGTGTCTCAGCTCAGCAAGTTTTGACCTGGCTATGGGTCAGGGAAAGGATGCTGTAGAGGGGTCACGGGTCTTTGGGGCTCTCTGGAGAGGTATCTCCATCAACAGCTCTGGGCTGCAGCAGATAAACAGCTCAAGGTGCTTGTGAAGGTTCTCCATCAACAGGGCTGAGATATTTCCCCATTGTGCAGAACAACGGTGTGAATTAGCACTAAATTCTACAGGATTATCCCCAGTGAGTCAAAGCAGAACCGCAGGAAACCCTCTGAGCTGTGACTCTCCATCCCCATCCCGAGTCCTCTGCTGGTACCCACAGCCACAACACCCCCACGGGGACCGAGGGACCCCTTTGGTGACCCTGTCACTGCCCGGCCCTCACCTGCGGATGCTCTGGGACAGGGAAGTCTGCCGGCGAAAGCCGGGCCGGCGCTCGGAGCCATCTCCTCCCTTCGGCCGGGGCTCCTGAAGGCTCTTGCTTTTTCGGTAGATGGGGACTTTGGACGGCTGGAAGAGAAAGCATGAGGGGCGTTAGGGACAGGACGGCACACGGGGGGTTCCCTGGGGACGGCAGAGCCACCAAGCCCTGTGATGGACACAGCTCCCCGTCACTCACCTCCTTGTGGGCACCATCCTCCTCCGCCTCCCGGGGGGGGATGACGATGGAGAGGTTGGGGGGCTTCTTGCTCTGCAGGCGGCTGCTGCTGGAGCGGCTGCCCCCGTTCTTGTCACCGGCTGACATCTCGGGCCGGCAGCGGTCAGCAGGCTGGGGGGAAGGGGGGCAAGAAGTTAGCGAGATGAGAAGAGATATTCCCCCCCTTAGGGAGCTCACGCGTGGGGAGAAGCTGGGTCCCAGCAGGAGATGGGGTCTCCCCAGCCTCAGCCCCCCCATGCTGCTGACCTCGTCATCATCACCCCAGCCACGGTGTCCCTGATGCCTGCTCCCTGGGTTTGGGTGGACACTGAGCTCCATCTCCCACTCGCTCTGGACCACTGAGACCACCCCTTCACCTGCCGGGAGCAGACCAAGGGGTGGTAGGAGATAGAGTGAGAGCATCTCCATCAGTGACACATGCCTGTGGGATGTCCAGGCTGCACTTCCCACCCCCTCAGGGGTGGCAGGAGATAGAGAGTGAGAGCATCTCCATCAGTGACACATGCCTGTGGGATGTCCAGGCTGCACTTCCCACCCCCTCAGGATGTGCCTGAGCCACTGGGGACATGCATGGGGAAATCTGGGGGGGTCCCCTGTGACCCCCAGCTGGGACCATGAAACACTGAGTGCTGTGGCTCTGACATGGGGGGGGACTGGCCCCCAGGGTTTGGGAGCTGAGGGGGGATGGCTAGTGCTCCTGGGGGTCTGCAAAGAGGTTGAGCTGCCCATGCAGGGGTGAGTGGTGGGACATGGCCAGGCAGGGGACACACACAGCCTGAAAACATCAACAGTAAATTCTTCACACCCCCACCTGTAGCACAGCCCCCTTGGGGAGGACAGTTCCTGCTGCAGTGAGAGGGGCTGGGGCAGCCCATGTCACCTCCAGCCACAGGACCTGCTGCGTGTCGGGGTGTCCCCAGGGAGGGGAGATGCAGGACGCTCCCCCCCGGCACGTGTGTGCACACACCGGGCTGGGAGATGGAATCCTCCCTGGCACCACGTGCAAGGAGGGGGAAGCTTTCATGGCCAAGAGGTGGTTAATTCCTCAAACAATCCCCTCCCAAGGGTCCCCCCAGCCTGGCTCTACCAGGCAAGACCTCTGAGGAAAGGTAATTCCATCCGAGTGCTGGGAACAAGTCCCAGATCCTATTAGGGGCTACGGGGGCTGTCAAAGGAGGCACGTCCCCCTCCACAGCCACGTGCCAGCACCCGGGGGACTCGCACAGGTCTTGTGAGCATCCCTCATCCTCCTGTCCCCCCAGCCTGGCTCTTCCAGGCAAGACCTCTGAGGAAAGGTAATTCCATCCGAGTGCTGGGAACAAGTCCCAGATCCTATTAGGGGCTACGGGGGCTGTCAAAGGAGGCACGTCCCCCTCCACAGCCACGTGCCAGCACCCGGGGGACTCGCACAGGTCTTGTGAGCATCCCTCATCCTCCTGGCACAGCCACAGCCATGGGGATGGTGCCATCTGCCGTGTTCACCCCGTGCAGCATCCACCCAGCCCTGCCACGGGGTGGCCACGAGGACCAGCATCCCCATGGGATCTGCTCCCAAGGGGAGACACGAGCTGGCGGGTGGCAGAGTCCCCTGAGAGGGGACCAGGCATCCCACTGGAGGTCCTCTGCTGCCACCCACCACCACCACTGAGTCAAGCTCAGGGTCCAACAGCGCTACTGGCTGCAAAACCCCAGCTCCATCCACAGCCCTGGCTCCTCTCTCTGCTCAGGAGCCCCATAACCAGCCTCGTATGGCCCCGCTCTCCTTCAGTGATGGCCCTTGAGCAATCGGCTGAGTGATAGGAACCCCACCAGCCCCATCTGCAGCAGGGTCCCCCCCTGGCAGCCCATCCTCAAAGCAGGAGTTGGGCACTTTCAGAGCTCCCCCAGCACTCCGAGTCCCACGCACAACCCTCCCCTCAGACCCCACCACAAGCAAAGCTTGGCTTTAGGAGCATGAGGTCCCCATGGGACCAGCTCCTGGGGGATGCAGGAGTCCGGGAGCAGCTCCATGGGGACATGGCATCCTGAGGCCAGTGTCACTAGAGGGCATCCCTGCCCTCTGCCAGGGACAGGGGACACCCTGCTGCTCCTGCACTGAAATGGGTGCTGGGCTCCCTTCCGGCAGGGACAGTTGGGGTACAGCAGGGCAGGGATGGGGTGAGACACACGTGTGAGGGGGGGCAGTGCCAGATGCAGCCCAAGCGGTGGCTTCACCGAGATCCCTCCATCGAGGGGCACCTGCTGGCAGCAGGACAAGGTCCTCATGCCCAAATTCACCCTGCTCATCCCCAGCCTTGGCAATAAATCAGTTGGTGGTGGGGATCCTGATGGCAAGATGCAAGGAAATGGTCCTCACGGGCACCCTTGGGTGCTGCCAGCAGCTCAGCTGCTGCCTCACCCCTCACTGCCCTCGAGCACCAAAACTGGGAGCAACCAGCCCCCAAATTTCTCCTGGGGGACTCAGCCAGGTCGTGGACCCCCCAGGACCCCACCGGGGTCTCCCTACCTCATAAGAGTGGCAGGGATCCTGCGCAGCGCGTCTTGCTGGCAAACACCCACAGTGACCTTCGTCTTCCTCCTCCTCTGTCCTTCACGCACAGGAGCCCTGGGGAACGAACTCCTCCTGCCTCGCCTGGTGGGGAGAGAGGCTGCAGTGAAAAGCCACGCGTGGGGAAGCAGGGGATAGCTGCAGGAGCACCCAGGATGGAGGGAGAGCCGAAGCTCTGTGGCTCCCCGGGCCCTGGGGACAAGGCTGCTGGTGGCCGGACACCATGTCACAGGAGCTCGGTGGCAGGGGAACCACACGGGGCAGGGGGGGTGTTCTCACCCACTGCTGCCAGACCGAGCTCTCGGGAAGCAGGAGATGGGCAAGGGGTGGGCAACCAAACACCAAGTGCTTGGCCAAGGTATTTAATGGCTGGGAGCTGGGAACATGCCAGCCGGGCGGTCCAGCCCCAGCAAGCAAAACTTTCCGTCCTGCTGCCGAGCTGGAGACACTGTTTGTTTCGCAGTGACCTTCCTCTTCCTCCTCCTCTGTCCTTCACGCACAGGAGCCCTGGGGAACGAACTCCTCCTGCCTCGCCTGGTGGGGAGAGAGGCTGCAGTGAAAAGCCACGCGTGGGGAAGCAGGGGATAGCTGCAGGAGCACCCAGGATGGAGGGAGAGCCGAAGCTCTGTGGCTCCCCGGGCCCTGGGGACAAGGCTGCTGGTGGCCGGACACCATGTCACAGGAGCTCGGTGGCAGGGGAACCACACGGGGCAGGGGGGGTGTTCTCACCCACTGCTGCCAGACCGAGCTCTCGGGAAGCAGGAGATGGGCAAGGGGTGGGCAACCAAACACCAAGTGCTTGGCCAAGGTGCGTCTTGCTGGCAAACACCCACAGTGACCTTCGTCTTCCTCCTCCTCCTCTGTCCTTCACGCACGGGAGCCCTGGGGAATGGCTGAACTCCTCCTGCCTCGCCTGGTGGGGAGAGAGGCTGCAGTGAAAAGCCACGCGTGGGGAAGCAGGGGATGGCTGCAGGAGCACCCAGGATGGAGGGAGAGCCGAAGCTCTGTGGCTCCCTGGGGACAAGGCTGCTGGTGGCCAGACACCATGGACACCATGTCACAGGAGCTCGGTGGCAGGGGAACCCCACGGGGCAGGGGGGGAGTTCTCACCCGCTGCTGCCAGACTGAGCTCTCGGGAAGCAAGAGATGGGCAAGGGGTGGGCAACCAAACACCAAGTGCTTGGCCAAGGTATTTAATGGCTGGGAGCTGGGAACACGCCAGCCGGGCGGTCCAGCCCCAGCAAGCAAAACTTTCCGTCCTGCTGCCGAGCTGGAGACACTGTTTGTTTCCCTGTTTTCCTCCCAGGGCAGCCAGCGATGAGCTGGAGATGCCACCTGCTCCGGAGAGCCGGGGATGGGAATGTGCTGGGGTCAGAGCCAGCCCCGGGACACCCTCCTCCTCCTCCAGCCCTGGGGAATGGCTCTCTGTGGTGGGAGCTGGCAGTGCCAGGGGCACAGAAAGTGGAGCCAAACCGCTTCGTTCCGAGGTGTGAGAGGACACTGTGTTCTTTCACGGCCCCGCTCTTACACCCCTACCCCAAAATCCCATCCCCAGTTGCTCCATCTCACCCCAGGCAGCCCTGGGTGAGGATCTCCGTGCTTCCCGGTGAAGCAGGTTTGCAGCACGGCTGCCTGTGGGGGGGGGACAGACCCACAGTGACGCAGGTCCCGGGGGAGCTGGCACAGCCCGGTGGGCACCTGCCGTCCCGGTCACGCAGCTCTGAGCATTAACACAATATTTGGCATTGAGAGAGGGGGGAGGACAGCAGCAACCCCCGAGGGCTGAAGTCCTCTCCATTACATGGGCAATGGACCCCTCCTGAGTCCAGATCCTGACCCACAAGAAGTTCTACCCCACGCCAGCTGGAGAAATCCCCTGGGGATGGTGCTGGGAAGGCATTTTTCTATGTCCCCACCTTTGGCACTGGCACTGCTCTTGCCCAGTGCCCTCGGCATGAGAACAGGCGAGTGGGTGTCTCCATCCAGAACAAGCCTACCATGAGCTCAGCCCTCCAGGTCCCCTTCACCCTCCCAGCCCCGGGACAGAGGGCTCTGCCACTGGCACCATCGCTCTCTGCCTGGCAGCCCTGGCACCATCAGCCCCAGTCACAGGGTACAGCCCGGCTGTGGGTCCCCAGGGAGCCTCAGCCCGGTCCCCATGCGCTCAGGGTGGCCATGGTGGCTCTGCCCTGGGGACAGGAAAGGGAAGTGAGAGGCAATGTGCTGAGCTGGCATGGGGGGACGGCGGCACAAATGCCCTGCTGTGGGGACAAGGTGGTGACAGCGGGTGGGGGGGTGACAAACATGGCACTCAGCACCCACGAGCACATCCTAAACTCGGTAGGAGCTGTGCTTCCAGCTGGAAGAGGGGTCTCAGGACAGCATGATGTCACTTCAGGCTGGAGAAGATCTCCAGGGAGAGAGAAAAATGAACTGGGGACAGTGCCATCATCTGCCGGGGAGGGAAAAATGAGCAGGAGGAGGAGGAGGGTGATCTGGTCTGATCAATAAGAAGAGATTCCCCACCATCACTATCTTCCCTCTCAAAGCTCACCAAAGCCTGATGTCCAGCAGCGAGAGACACTGCCCTTGCCCCATCCCCTCCTAAAAGGGCAGGTGTTTGGGGGGCACTGGTGAGCAACTGGGATGAGGTTTTAGTCCTTAACCAGGCGAGGCACAGGGAGGGTGACCAGGGCTGGCTCCAGCCCCAGCCCCAGGGTGAATCATGACAGACGTGACCCAAGGAAGCACACCCAAGGAGGAAAGTGATGGAAAAAGTGATGTGGCTTGTATAAGGCATCACCATGGGACACGCCAGGATGCTCTGAGCAACAAAAAGGGACCATCAGCGAGACCAAGTGGCAACCTGCAGAGCAGAGCTGGGGACAAGCAAGCACAACCATTGTATGAGACACCGGAGACAACCCTGCAGAGCAGCCCTGGGTGGAGGGGGACGGAGGCAGCACCCACAGGTGCAGAGAGGCTCAGAGAAGGTTCGTGGTCGTTCTCCCTGAGCCTGTTGGGGTGGGGGGAGGCAGCATTACCAGCGCTGGAATAAAAGTGCATCAGGCTGGGGCAATTAAGTCGGGGGGAGAAAGCAGCTCTGAGCCACCCGGGGGTGCGGGACCCCTGTGAGCACCCATCACACCCTGAGCACGACGAGCCCCTGCTCTTCCCTCTCCATCAGGGAGTGGGAAAGGGGTCAGCGATGAGGAGGAGCCCCCAAAACACCCCCACAGCCATCACCGACACTCGCACCCAGGAGTCCATTAGGCAGAGCCCGCTGCTGCCCATAAATGATTCACAAGCACGTTAAAGACCTCTCCAAGGCTGGAGCCTCGTTAAAAGGTGCTCCCGGTTATTAAAGAGCCCTGGATAGGAAAATCAATCGGCCCAATGGCTCCGAGCACCGAGCCCCCGCGGGCTCACACCCGAGCGTAGGACCCCGAGCGGCCGCCCAGCACCTTCCCCCCTTTCTGCTCCCTTTCCAAAAGCTTTGTGCCATTTTCCAGTGTCAAGCATCAGATCTGAGAGGAGCAGCCCAAGACAAGCAGCTCTTGAAATGAAAAGATACTATTTAAAAAAAAAAAAAAAAAAAAGAAAAGACTTCGCAGTGGGGGGAAATAAATGCCTACTCTTTAGGACTGCTGCAGGTTTGTAAAAAAAAAAAAAAAAAAAGGAAAGATACTTCTGGAGTGGGGAGATAAATACCTTAGTGTTTTTCTTTCTTCTTGGGAAGCCTAGCTCCACGTGTCCCTCATCATGGACCCCCTCAGAGAGACTTGGTGAGCACCAACCCCACAAGCCTCCCCCCGCTGCCTCCCTCCTCTCAACCTCTGCTTATTCTTAGTGCGTTGAGTATTTAGGCTTTTTTTTTTTTCTTCAAAAGGACAACATACACTTTATGGCATCCCTGCAGGAACCCTCCTGTCCTGTAGGGACTCCATGTCCCTGTACAGCCCCTTGTCCACAGCACAAAAGCCCCCCCAGCCCACGCGAGGCCATTTCACACCACGACATCAGGTTGATTTCTCTTCCTCCCCCCACCACAAGGAAGGCAACTCCATCTTTTCCCCACCACGTGTGCCAACCCCTCCTCCAAGGGACCGGTGGGCAAACCTGCAGGATGCCAGGTCTCTGAGTCCATCTGATGCCACCTCTGAGTCTCCAGAGAGGACCACTGCGTTCCGGGGGGTATCTTAAGCTGCCCCCTCCCTCATTGCTGAGGCAGATGGTCGGCACCAACACCCACAGGAGCTTAAATCCCCATCTCCATCAGGGTGGAAAGACGGGACAGGGATGCCCCATGGATGGCAAGAGCCCACCCGCTCCCCGGGGCACCCAGGCAGCACCTCACCCATGCTGCCATTAGGAAATCCTCTCCCATTTTCTGCGTGGGGCAGGACGTTGGGCAACCACAGCCGGGTTTGTTCAGCCCGGGTGAGGCGGGAGCGAGTGGCACACCCTGGGAGGAAGCAAAAAACCAGCCGGGGAGATAGAGCACGGGGCTGCGCTGGGTGCTGCCGATAAAGGCAGAGCCCTGCCCGTCCGTGGAAAAAGGAAGAGAGGGCTGGGGAGGGTGTCCGTCCGCTCGCACGGTTGCACAAGGCAGCCCTGTGTTGGGTTTTCTCCCCCCCCCGGGGGCAAGGGCTCCATCGCCAGGAGCCCGCGTGGCCCCGGTGTCTCCGGCAGTTGTGGGTGACACCACCCAGTCCCCACGTGGAAAGGGAAGGATTTGCCCACGGGACGTGGGAGCAGGTGGAAAAAGCCACGTGGAGCATTTCCCACATCCCAACCCCAGCCCATTTCACCACCCTCGTTAATTTTCACCAGTGCAACAATCCCCCCCCCAGGCGAGCCAGCACCCAAAGGCTTCCCAGCCCGCTGGGATGGGTGACAAGCCCCAGTGAGTCAGGGTCCCTCTGTGCTGCTGCCCACTGACCCCAGCACCTCCTCCTTCCTGGAGGGCTCTTGGGTAGTCCCTGCTCCTCCTTCTCAGGAAGGTCCCCACATCCCCTTCCCAGAGGGGTCCAGGGGGTCCCCGCACCCTCACATCACACTAACCCCAAACAGGCGGCACCGCACAAACCCACCCCGCT